ACTAGCTCTATCGTAAATGTATCTGACTCACTCACGGCTGGACCTGTACGCATGTGGCCGCAATTCAGTCCAGAAATAAGGAAAAGAGTGCTAGTAAAAGTATGCCCGGAATAAGAAAACTAGGCAAGCATTCAAATACGAGGTGTTAAAAAAAAAAAAAAAAAAAAAAACACCAACCAATGGAGAAGTTGCTATGCTGACACGCAAGCAAAAAAAATATCGCATTGAACAGCGTGTAAAGAATCGAGCATTGGTCCCAAAAAAAAAAAAAAAAAAGCTCAAGCTGGAAGGAAGTTGAATGAACAAAGAAAAACAGCCTGCCTACTTGCTGATCGAGAAATGAAGGAACAATACAATGAACAAGGGGACTCGCTGCAGTACTCTCCAAATGTGCAAAATGAGACAGAATCTTACGCTAGAACCCGGAAAGGTACACCCCAATATCTTGTCTTTTGTGCATCTCGAGAGTGGTGGAGCGAGGCCCAAGAAAACACATCCTGAATGAACACGGAACAACGAACAGCCTGCGTAGTTTTGCTTGTTGACACTGAACTCATTGAAGAAACGGACGAAGGMAAWAAAAMARAAARMAGGAAAAAAAAAAAAAAAAAAAAACCCACAAAAAAAAACGGCCTAAACACGCCGCCATGTCGACTTCTTCAGGTGAGGAGAGGTGTGAAATAGGGCCATGCCACACCACTCCCAGAATGTGCAAAATGGAGCATGTATTTTTGCAAGAGACATGGAAAGATTCACCCGCCATAGGTTTTGTCCTTTTCCTTTTCACATTGCGGGAGTCGTGTGCCCATGCCCATAGTGTCTTCCGTGCAGATATCTGCCGCCAAAAAAAAAAAAAAAAAAAAAAAAAGAGCTCCAGAAAATCTCCCTAGATTGTCGCACCTCCCTACCCTCAAAATGAAACTTAGTACTCCCGAAAATGACGAACAACCTACCTACCAGAGGTGAAATTGAGAGAAGAATATAGCTTTTTTTATTGTGTGTTTGATTTTTTTATTTTTTTTTAATCTGAACAACTTTCTTTTTTTTTGAAAAAGGAGCAACATTTATAAAGCTGTGGCGGGAACCGGGCCTGGTGTCCCTCACAAAGTTCGCCGCAGCTCTAAGGCTGAGCTAGGCTCTCCGGCCAAGCAAAGCCCAGGCCATGACTGTGGCAAGATTCTACTCCTTATTCTCATCTGAATTCAATCCCTCAATTAACTAACAATATCCCTAAAACCAAGTGTAACTATAGACTCTACTATTAACACTAATTTGGACACTCTAGAAGGGCTAAACAAAAAAGGAAGGGAACAAAAGGGGACATAAACTATGGTCACTTTCACAAGTTTTGTACAACCATGTATATTAAAAGAAAAACCCTGAGAAGCACAGACAGGGTTGTTGCTGTGGCAAACATTCGATCGTGAACAGTCCCGAAAACTCAGTCCTACTTTTGTTAAAATGCTGCATTGATTTCTGCGAGTATCCTTTCCATTGAACTCTATACTCCCATGCTTGATGGAAAATTTGATTTCAGCTCGAACCATCGGTGGTGTCAACCTCTCCCCTCTCCTAGTCGCTGAATTCCTCAATTTCCAAAGAGTCCACAATATGGCTCCTCTCAGAGTCTCTTCTGCATATGCATATGCATTTCTCTCACTGCCGATCCGAGTAGTAGAAAACGGTCCGTCCATCTTGAATTGTTACCAGGAACCGGGACATTCATTCGTCACCACCACTCCCAAAAAGGCCTGGAAACATCGCAGTGCAATGCAAAGTTTTGCAGGTCCTCCATTCGAGTTCCTGGGCTTTGAAAAAAAAATAAAAAAAATTAAAGAGGAACAACGGGCTTAGCTCAGTTGGTATACCCATAATCTGTTGGAAATGCAGGCCTGAGTTCGAATCCAGATGGAACCAGATGAATGCGTCTGAATGAATGAAATCCCTGAAGTAGCTCCCGTGTTCACCCGAATAGAACTTCTGGTTATACAGACGTATTTGGTGCAAATTTCAGTCCAGATACAGCTGTAATGACCGGGCATTTTATTTGGGTGAGGACGCCCTTGTCCTAAACAAAACATTGGGGCAGTCAAAGTACTATACACTGTCGTTCGGGACATCCGTTAAAATGGGAACGATACAGAGAAGATTAGCATGCACCCTGTGCAAGGAAGACACATTAAAAAAAAAAAAAAAGGTACTATGCATCAGTGGCCGAGGCGTATCGGGCGACTGATGCCATATCCCCTGACCCCCTCGTCTAGGGTAAGCGGGAAATGTGATCTCTCGTCAGAGGGGTAAAAAAGAAATATGCATCGACGGGGGACTCGTGAATCGTGATCTATCGTGTAGCAAAAAAAAAAAGAAAAAAAAAAAGAAGTAATAGTAATAATAATTAAAGTCTATGATTGTTGTTGAATCTATGGCATGATCTGTTTATTAACAGTTTCACGTGTTTAAACAGTTTATTGCGGCATTTAATTTCTTCGACTTTTTTGGGAACATTTTTGAAATGCCCATCCGACTTCCATTTATTTGAGGCATGCCCCGCCAACGGTCGACTTACCCTGTAGTGCCCCTGGGGCCTCTGAAGTTTCCTGGATGCCCCTGTCAGTGAGGGGTGCAACTTTCCAGCATGCCCCTGTGGCCGTTGGTGGCACTCCAGGCCGTTCCCCTGGCCCTGGGAGGGGAGCTAACATACCACAAAAAAATGGAAGTCGGAGGGGCATTTCAAAAATTTCCCCTACTTTTTGTCACTTTTCCTGTTCTCTTCACAGTCACTATGGTTTCATCTATCAGCTATGGAGTTTGGTAGTTGCATGTGCTGCTCCCCACCAATAGACTGGAGCCACCCAAAGGAAAGGTGGGAGTGTATGCACTCATCATCACTCCTATCTGTCTCTGCGAGTGTTAAAATAAAAAGAAAAAGAAACAAGTCCGCCAGTGTCACACTTTCGGTTTGAAAAAGGCAAAAAAAACAGTTGTGGGTGGCAACGTAGGGTGCGAAGTTTGAAAAGGGCCATATTGTAAAAATGGCTGTGGCCCACGTGTGATTTTGTTGCCCTTTTCAAACTCGGCACGCGAGTTTGTTGCCCTTTTCAAACTCGGCACGCTAGTTTGTTGCCCTTTTCAAACTCGGCGCCCAGGTAAAAATACTTCTGTTGCCCTTTCAAACTCGGCGAGGGAGTTTGTTGCCCCCGTGTGATTTTGTTGCCCTTTCCAGACTTGTTTGTGCCACAACCGATTTTACCCCGAATAATAATGATGATGTAAAATCGACCCCACTAACAGAAGGGAGCCATGGTGCCATCTCATGAGACAGC